CACGTGGTATAAGGCTCCGCCCTTGTCATTTGTTGAGCAGGAAGAGTGAGCGCTTGTTTTCATGCAGATTACGTCCCGGATCAAAATGCGGTACAATCGTCGTCGTCTTTTTTTCTTTTTTTTTAAATCGTTGTCATTTGGAAATGAGATCACACATAAGTATGAATCGAGATCGCGATTTTCTAACGATTAATCGTGCAGCCCTAATACAGAATATGGTCAAAATTTGGTCAGAAGCGTGTTATCCGTATTGGCCACTAGTAAAAATGCCTAGAGCCAGCTTAGAACCCCATTAATCTAATGTGCATGTAGAGAGAACCCACACAGGCTCTTCTTCTGATTTTTGTTTCCGTCTGTATTTTAATGCAGTGCTACTCATTCGGACTACATCCAGCAAACTTCGAGCTCCGCGGGCAGGAACAGCTGTGATAGGCTATATGCAGCTGTGTTGTTGGGATTTAGGCAGTGCTAGATTTGCTTCTCATTCTATTTGATAGAACATTTGATCAGAGTAACTGTGGGAAGTCAAAATCACGATTGAGATTCAAATGTGAGTTGACGTGTGCAGTCTCACGGAGCATCATCCACTCAGCATAAATCACCACCCAGGACACAGTGAATATCTCAATGAAACCTTCTACGCACCCTGTGCTCCCACTTTGCAGCACTATCCAAATATTCCATCTATGCTGTTCTAACAACTGTACAACTCTTAAGGTTTACGGCCCTGTCTGTAATAGCTACTGCCCCCTCTCTTACTTTCTTCAACAGCATGTGTGTCACTGTCGCGGTGCAAAAGTAATGATTGAAAATGTGAAATAGAACCAATAAAAACAAATAACCACTCCTTATAACTCCTTTAGCATCGTTTCCTTTCTAGCCAATGTGAGAGTGCTGGTGCTCAGTGGAAGCAGGCTGTGTTTCTTACATGAACGCTGGCTGCTCGATTGGCAGGCTGCATGTCGGAGTTGTTGGTGATGTTGCGCAGCGTCCTAACAGCCGGGCTCCACCCTGACATGCTCTCTGGAACAGATACACCTG